CATTCATTCATTTACTTATTAAAAATCTTTTTTTTTAAAAAAGATTTATTTTATACAAGAGCTGGGGTACAGGCCAGATGCGTGGGAGGGTGAGAGGATTCACCAGAGACAGAGCGGAGAACAGAACAGGCAGACTGATGAAATACACTGCTGAGGGGAGCAGCGGGCAAGACAGGAGAGGTCTGCTTGCCACTTGGGTTGCTCCGAGGCTGGCGGGGATTGAACTAGCACTGGAGAGGCTGTGGACAGCTTCACAGCGCTGCGCACAATCGCCTGCGCCACCAGGGAGGCTCCTACTATGTATTTATAGCCATTGGATAATTTTAACAGTGGTTATAGAGCTCTTCTGCCTGCAGTGACTCTCTCTTTTTCTTTTTCCTAATAAACTTGTCCTTTTAAATGTTAAAAAAAAAAGGTATAACAGTTTATTTTTTAATTACAATATCCTTTTGCTGGAAATAACAAACTGCATCTAATTGATCTTTGGATGAACATATTAGACATTCAGTATAAAATGTGTGAAACGGTATCTAGATTTTTTCCAAAATGGTAGGATTTATGCAGAATGTTTGAAGTTATCTTTCTTCAGGTAAATATTGATTGAGTCATATTTTGTGTTTCCTTGGGTTTGCTTCTTGTACTGCTTTCGGGACCTAGAGCCTGACCCTGGAGTAGATCTGGAAGGGTTTACTTTGTTTTTATTGTTGCTTAAAGTTTTGAAGGCAGGAATGGTAATAACTCTAGCGTTGGATCAAATGAAATCAAATCACATGGGGACCCAAACCTCAGTTAAATACATAAACAATAAAACAGATTCAGTCTGTTTCAAGTGAAGCCTCTTTCTGGTTTCAGCCAAGACTGTGGAGCTGAGGGTCACTTGGTATTTGTCCTAGATTGCAGAAGAGAAGGAGGCAACAAAGCTTGAGCCGCTCAGAATATATGTTGTTTAAAGTTTATTCCAAGGGCTGAGTTTGATTAAAAAACTCAAAGGACCAAAAGAAAAAAAAATGACCTATCCCTCAAGGTTCTTTGTATTTATAATTCTGAAGTCAGTTTGATCCAAAGCATCTGTCCTCACATCCTGCTTTGATACTGATGAACAAAATAACCCTTAAAAATCCACAGAGTCAGTTGAGATTCTTTCAGGGCATCTGTCAGTACCATAATAGCAGATTTGGGCCAGCATTTAAAAATGGGTAATTAGGAATTGGCTCTTCTTGCTGTGCTGAGATCCTGGCCAAAATCCTCTCCCTGTTGCAGGTGGTCTATGAGAACTTGGTCCATGAAGGCTCAAATGTGATTCTATTTATGTCTCTATGTTAGACAATAAGTCTGAAGCTGTGGCTGCTAGGACTCAGCCAGACTAGAATCCAAAACAAAACCCCGAGCTGATTACCACCAGGCTCACTCCCTGGGGATCCACCAAAGTGCTGTATGAAGCTAGCCTGATTGTCATAACAGTCTGGACGATAGTGAACTGTGTCTCTGTCTTTGAAGCCAGAAGGTCAATATTCAGTAGAGGGTGGGGTAATACACTTGCTTAGCCTGTTCTAAATTGTTTTGTCGTTGCTCTGCGTTAGTTTATCTGGCAGATAGAAATGGATCACACAGAAAGGAAGACGATGAACTGGGAGCTATTCTCATCTTTGCCATCTTTCTATCAGCTTCTATTTGAAGCCGTGCAACCATCTGATGTGCAAACTGATGGAACGGTGCCTGGGTAACAGTATTTACGACTCTGTTTTACAACACAGTTGATAGAATGACATCAGGAGTCCTCTGCTTGTGGCTCCAGCTGCTCTCAGACCACCAGATCCTCCAGATTGATTTCCAGCCCCGCAGCATGTCTGTATTGCAAGCTTAAGAATTTAAGTGAAACCCTGGCGTGTTTGTGGTGTCATAGAGGGTGGAGGACGGTGGAGTGAGAAGGCATGTTTTCATGTGGTTTGGCTTAGGTGTTTAAAGTCTGGAGAGCATAGAGTTTATAAATGGATCATGATGGGGTGGTGGTGGTGACTTACTCATTCAGTTAATCAGAAGAAATTCATGCTGTGTCTATGATGTTCAAAGAACGATGCTAAGTTGTAGGGACCTATTAAATATCATCAAGACTACCCTCAAATCACTTATCCCTAGGAGAGAGAACGTGCGTGCGCATAAAACAGCCAGTGACTTATGGCAGTTATCCATTAATGCCAAAGGAAGCAGAGGTGGCAGGGTCTCTGTTTAGGGAGGGGTCTACTGTTCAGGGAGAGAGAAAAGAGTGGGTCAAGATGATCTTGGAAGACCTATTTAGATTTTGTACTGGAAATAAAATTCAGAGGCTGTATGTGAAGTAGTGGCAGGCATTCTGGGTGCAGGGCTGGGAATGAGGAGACAGCATGGGTTAAAAAAAAGGAAATATAAAGGAAGAAAGCATATTGTAGAATATAAGGAATCCCATTTCACTCAGACAGGAGTTTATAATAGTGAGGAGAGCATAACTGATGTAGGAAAATTGCCTGAGACCATTATGGATGGCCCTGAATGTCAACACGAATTGTTCGTTCTGTAATCTTAAGAAGTAGTCACTGAGTATTTTCAGGTGGAGGCTGATATTTAAAAAGCAGCATTTTTGCTAATGGCAGTGCCCAGGGTAGCATGAAGGTGACAGGAAGTAGACTGTTTGGGGAGACAAGTCAGAAAATAGGGTAACAGCCGTATGTGAAGGGACCCGTCTGCAGGGGCTGTTTCTGGCTGGACGTGAGGTCCACGGTGGGAGAACCAGCCAAGGTCCCCCTCGGAGTCCCCGAAGCCCCATGTCAGCCCCAGCTTGTTGTTGGCAGCTGCCTTCTCTCCTCACAGAGCCGTCACAGAGTGTTCCTTAGCTGCAAGGAGAAGTCTACTCAGCTCTCCCTTTGCCCAGTTTATCAAGAGCAGCTTGAGAGTCGATGAAGGACTTTTTGAGAAGACCCAGGGTGACGTCAGTCCCGTAGATTTGGTGCCCTCTCGTTGCCCCCTGAGTGGATTGTGCATCTTTGAGAGACCTGCACACCTACCCTGTGGCCCATGGGCCGGGTGTCCTCTCTGTTGGCTGCTCTGTCTCAGATGCTGGGGGGTGCGGGGGGTGTTGGTCACCACTATAGTAAACCCACAGACATCACCCTGGTCCCAGAGCTTCAGTCCCGGTGTGTTTTACAATCAGTGCTTCCTTTCCTGGGGGACAGACACTATCATTGACATAAGGAGGCAAAGCAAGACTCAGTTGGGAGGAGAGGTGTGCGTTAGGGGTCCAGGACCCCTGCAGTGTGATGATTTCCTGGAGGACTTACACACTCAGTGAGGGGCTCTCCCAATGCTGCTCTGCTACAGTAAAGGGATTCAGAGCTAAGTCAGCAAAGGGGAAGGCATGGGGCAGAGTCTGGAGGACACAAGGTGCAGGCCTCTGAGTCTCTCCCAACACAGAGCACAGATGTGTTTGGTGGCTCCGCTCCAACACATGTGAGACATGAGAGGCGCATGTGAGATGGTCAGGCTTCCCAGGGACTCGGTGCCCAGTGTTTCAACTGCATAAGAGCTTTCTGTGCAGCACCCACCCTGATTCCAGGCTCCCCTTCACAGCCTTGTTGTTTGTATGACCAGTTTAGGCACAGTGAGCCCCTCTTTCCTGTTCTGGGAATTGAAGAACCCCCCTCGTGAGTCCAGGTTCCCAGATGTCAGTCAAGGGCCAGAGATGAAAGCAGGTCCTCATCAGGACAAAGAGTCAGGCTTAGCATGTCAGCTTCTTGCCACTCAGAATAATGATGCTGTCACTTCAGTTGTTGAGAAAGGAAAATGGATGGAGAAATTTCCCAAAATCCAGGAGGGTCTGATATGAAGACGAGGTCATGTTTCTCAAAGGAATATTTGATATTGAGGCAAAAGGAAGAGACATCGCAGAGCACAGTGAACTGAAAACAGGTCCTGGTCTCTTCTCCACAGGCAGGAGGCTGGAGAGCTGGGAGAGCTGAGATGAGAGACAAGAGGTTTAAAGATGAGGAAAGTTTCAAAAGCTGTAGACCTAAAATGCTACAGATAGGCACGGATGCTGAGGACTGCCCAAAATGCCCTTGGAATTTCTTTTTAAGAATGTGTAAATTGATTTTAAGTTGAAGTCATTATTAAGCAAGACTTTTTCAGCCAGTGCTTTAAATAGCTTTCCTGCCTATCAGATCTTTCTGTCTTCTTTGATCACTTCACACAAAGCCCTGTTCTAAATTTTTTTGTCAATGGCTGCGTTTGAGTTTAAATTTCACAGGTGGATAGAAATGGGTGAACTTTGGGAAGGCTAAAAAAGAATAATCCTTTGAGCATTACTGCATTCTCTGTCTCTAAGTTATTTAGGGACAACCCTGGCAAAAAGTACCTCTTCCAGTTCTTGATGGAAAAGTAATTCTGTTTTATTCATTTAAGAGGATTGTGTTTGCCATTCCATTAATCTCATTGCTGCTTGCTGTGAAGAATAAACATTGAAAGCAGCTTATTTTGTGTCCTGACATCCCAAAGGGATGATGAAAGTATCTGAAGTTCATACACTATCCTTAGATTTCTCCTAGACCCTCTTTCAGGTTCTAACTCTGTGCTATTAAATTTCTCAGATGCTCAGGTTATCTAGACCCTCTGAGATAGGTGATCAATGTCTTACAGAATCACATGATCAAATAATGGACCTTTTTGGTTTATAATAAAAACATGCTAGAACCCCATTTATCTTGGGGGAAAGACATTCTGTGGCTGACTTTGAGTTGTTGGTAGAACAGCTGACACTGGTGTCGCCTCTCATGCTCCAGATGATTCAGGAATAGCAAACCCTTGCAGGGTAGAGGGTGGAGAACGTCAGTCCTGAAGGTGACATGTGTGGCCCTGTTACCCTGAGTCGTGGGGATAGTTCTGGCCTAATTCACGTCATTGCAGTTCAGGAGGGCAAAGGCACACTGTGATTGAAGTGGCTTTAAATTCTCTCTCTTGTCCTAACATCACAGGGCTTCCAGCAAAAATTCTCCTTCCACAGTAAAGAGATTGTGGCTATCAGCTGCTCCTGGTGCAAGCAGGCGGTAAGTCAGGGGCCTATGTCTATCTAAACAGTTGTATGTCATTGCCTGAGTTCCTGTCTGTACTTGGAAGGTTGCCCTCATTTAACCTGTTATTTCTCACTTATAGGATCATTGGAGGAAGAAAGATGAAAATCTAGAGCATATACGAGCTCGGAGAAGCTCTAGAGATAAACAACCCCCTCGTTTATACACATGGAGACCTGGGGTCGGGTACTGGGAAACCCAGTCCTGGTTCTAATCCTGGTTCTCTCACCCCCAGCTCACCATTTTCCCACTGCCTTAGATTGTTGAGAATTCTTTTGGTGGGAAGTTGCAAAATGGGGAAAGATTAATTTGCAACATTGAATAATCCCTCTAACATGGATCCAAGCATCTCGGTTCCCCTGTTTTTGAAGTGGGTGACTTTTTCTTTTTTTGGATGGGGCTATTGTAGGAAAAGAAGCGTGGTTCTTGCATCCTTTAGTTTGGATCATGTTTCCTTGTCTTTGTTCTCATTGCAGTGTATTGCAGTGTATGTGCATTTGACCTTACCTACTTCTTAGGATCCAGTGATTCCCCCCATTTACCTTTCCTCTCTTTTATTCTTTTTTCATTTTTTTTAACACTTCTGCCACAGCCAGATGCTACTTTTTTTTTTTTAAACTTACTTGTCAATGTACCTGTTGTTTGTTTCACCAGTGTAAACTCTAATTGCCTGTGGGCCAATCTGACCCCTGTTGGCTTTTTGTAGTTTTTTTAGAACTGAACTATGTCCATTTTTATATATTGTCTGTGACTGTTTTCATGCTGTAATGGCAGAGTTGAATAGTTCAACAGGGACAGTATGGCCCTATGGGACTGAGATATTGATTATCAGGGTCTTTATGGAAGAAGGATGTGGACACTTGCTTTAATTTTTCAATCCACCTACTCTCTTGAATGAGTGTGTGAACTGTGATACATAGTCCTGAAGACACGGGCGTGGTGTTTCAGTGAGGTTCAGGGGTTGCAGGGAATCTCTGCACACCTCAGATTTCATAGCTGTGCTATTCCATGGGCAAGAGCAGAGGCATTTAGTTGCAACACATAAAATTGACATAATTGAGGGTAAAAACCTTTTGTGTTTTGGAAATTCCATAAGGTTGAACCTAATAGTTCCTGCAGCATAATTCCCCTGCCCCCCACCCATGTCGGGGAACCCACCATCATCACGTGGGACACGTTGGTCTGGAAAGCTCAGGCTGGACACCAACCTTCCACACTTCTTATTTGGGGCATTTCCATTTCTTTTCAGTTTGTTGTCACAAAAATAACACATTTGCTTCTGCTCAAGAATATGTTCACAAATCCTAGTCCTTAAATGAATGTCCACATCATCAAGGCAGTGTCTCCACCAGGAGAGGAGGCAGCAGATCCTCATGCTCCTAACACTCTCCTTGCAGCCAAGCCCCCTGCTCTGCTGAGACCCGCTGTGGGGCAGCATCCTGGGCAGCAGGGCAGAGAGGATCTGCCTCACATACGCAGCTGCTAGGCTGTGGCGCAATGGTTTATCTGGGGTCAGTGAACTTGGAAACTCAATCCTACTTTATGGGGAACCCGGGCACTCTGTTCTCCACTTTCCACAAAGACTGCCCTTCCACTTGACATTGCAGTGGGCTCTTGGCAACTCCACCTGTCTTTGAGTTTCTCACGGTCCCACATTGTAGAAGGTAATTTTACAAGCACCAAAGATACAAAATTTTTGTAGGTAACTTGCAGTGGTGACAGACTTTAATAATGCTGGCAATGCCTGCTGGGATGTCGGATGTCAGACACATAAGGGATCCTGTGTGGGGTGGCGAAATACAAACTGAGGCTGGGATCTGGGTTTTCTGGGTACAGGTTCTGACTCCTAAAAGTGGTGCAGTTTTGGATATATCTGTGCTCTGGATTGGATATTATTCAAATAGGAATTGAGAAGTTTGAAGTGGGAATTCTGTGAAAACCATACCATATTTTTGATATGCAATGGCCATACAATTGGTAATTTACTTGAATAGTTAAGAAAAACCCATTTCTTACGGGTGGTATTCAAGTAACATTTTATATTAGGCTTTTTGCAGATCACAAATAACTAGTGTCTGACGAATTATTATTTTATTAGTGTTTTATGTTTAATTAGTGAATCGTCACTGGATCATGTCATATCTTAGAAGGTACGTAGAAATGGAGACAGACTTTCTCTGATGTGACCATATTTACCAGTTTCTTCAAGACAGTCTTAATTTATGTCTGTTGTTCCAACATAATTACCCATGCTCTCTTTCACTTTTTAAATTTTCCAGTTAAGGTGATGAATTATGTGGTGACATTAAATATAATCCAAGTAGAAACTGATATTACATTTAAAAAATTCACTGATTAAAATTGTAAGATCCATAATTATTATGTAATGGGGATTTTGTTTATTAGAAAACAAATGTCACCATTCATCATCTACATTTTACTGCCACACAAAAGATGATGGAAAATGTGACTGCCCTAACATCAACCCATCTGCCTGTCACAGCCTGAGTATAGAATTAAACCCCTGAGTACAGAATTAGTACTCAGTTAGATTTATTAGTCTGCATTTACTTTCTTCCTTTCAAAAACTAAAAGCACTTTAGACTCGCCAAGTTAATTGGGCCATTATATTTTTGAGTGGTGCCCAGACCAACCCAGTAGAAGCAATCTCTTCGAGCTTCTTACCTCTTGGATTAACAACTCTTTAGAAGAGATACTTTGCTTTTTTCCTGGGTCCTCCGAAGTAGAAGAGCCTTCTCGAAAGGATTTGTATCTATGGATAGAACAAGCAGAGGTAGATGGCCTTGCTGCTTTGCTAGCCTCTCATTTTCTTCAACATTATCCCAAATCACTGGGTTCTGTGACCAGTGAAAATCAGATGAGATGAATTTATGCAAAAAGCAAGGACTAATAGACCCCTCCAAGACTGTGATGTCTCTTGGCAAATATCCTACTAGAAGGTTATAAAGTTTTAGCTGACCTTGTCTTACAAGATTGATTTCTTGCTATCAGTTGTCATCAATTTGTAAAGTGGGGTGAATTTGAAATCGGGGCTTTCTGCTCTTGGGGCTGGTTGTGAGGTGGGGCACCAGTCCTCAGCGTGTGTACACATGCGCACACATGAGTGTGTTCACATGTGTTGTGTGTGCGCACACACACACATTCCTTCTTGCTGCATCGTTGCCTTTCCTCAGAATTGCCCATCGACTTATCTCTCTCTCCAGTTTCACAATAAGGTGACCTGCTTCATGTTGCATCACATCGAGGAACCCTGCTCCCTGGGGGCCCATGCTGCTGTCATTGTCCCGCCCACCTGGATCATTAAGGTGAAGAAACCTCAGGTAACTGCCGGGCCCCTGGTGCTACTGGGCCAGGGCAGAGGAAGAGTAACTGCTGCTTCTTGCTTTTCTGCCCTGACTAGTCTTTGGGTTCCTATGACCTCGGCTTACTCCTCCCCATGGGGTCCCCTGCTTAGCTTCCCTGGTTCACCCCATTAGCCCACCCCTTTCCTGTGTTGGGCTCTCTCATGGAACCAACTTCTACTTCCTAAAGAAATCAAAGTTCCACAGCAGGAAGGTGCCTCCTGTGGTTGTGCTAATGGTAGTCTCTTTGAAGGGAGCTCTCTGGAGTTCCAGTAGGTACCAGGGTGGCTACAGCTATTCTTATGCAACTGCCTTCTCTGTAGCTTGAGTGGAGGGGACAGGGCAGGCTGCTGGATTAGTTTGAGAATAGTCACTTCCAACCTCAGTGACAGTCTTTAGGTCATGACCCTCCTAAATGCGCAAGGTCTGCTTAGAAAGCAACACCCTTTTCTTAAGGCAAAGTGGAATTTATCCTTCTCGGACCTAATCTCATTCTGTATTCAATCCTTGTACTCCTATCCTATAGTCTGCTGCAAAGTTCTGGTAGACTTTGGTGGTTTGACTATCAAGGTCATAGTCTTTGATAGAAAATGATTACCTTTGTACAATCCATCATAGCTCTGAGTTATGGAACAACAGACTTTTAATGCTACAGGGAGATAATTATAGCTGTGCAGGTTACAGGGACCTGAGGAAATTTTATCTTTAAAAGCATGACAGCCCTACTTCACATGGTCTCCAAAGTCACTGTGCAACTTATTCTCACTGTCTTAGTTTTGCTTAGAGAGGGCTGGATCAGGGCTACTGTTTTGCTTTGTGTGTTTTACATAAAGTTTTGTCTTTGTTGATAAATAATGCTTAGGAATAAACCTTACAAGTTATAATCCATGAAACCCTTGGGAGGTCTTTAACAGAGGCCAGTACAGTATCTGCACATTTACGCATGGGCAGTCTGTTCTTTCTCTTTACATTTTAGAGACAAAAGCCAAGAGAAGTTACATGAGCTCTCCCTGGGTGACAGAGCAAACTAAATATAGTTAGTAGTGCCTCTGAAACTCAAGTGTACTGATTTTCAATTTAGTGTTTTTCTAAGCTCTTAACATTTCCGCTGCTTTGTGTGTTTTTCCCTTTGAAAGTCTGTAGTTTCTCCATGAACTTTATATTGAACATTCATTCAGTTAAATCAACACATTTTCATACCATCGACTTCAGTGGGACCAGGAAGGTACTCGGCATTGTGTCTTTGCTCTGAAGAGCTGTAGGAAAAGTCAGGGGAGCTTTATGAAGGAGATGGCTTTGTTTTGCCTTTTTTTTTTTTTTTTGCATAGAAGAACTGGGGTGTAGGCCAAAATTGTAGGGGGAAGGGGTGAGAGGATTCACTAGAGACAGAGTGTGGAGCAGAACAGGCGGATCCACTGAAATACAAGGCTGAGGGGAGCAGCAGGCAAGACAGGAGAGGTCTGCTGTGCCGTGTGGGTTACCTCCCTGGCCAGGGATCGAACTCAGGCCATAGTGTTGATAGTGCTGAGACTTAACCCCGAGGCCACTGGAGAGGCCCTTATTTTGCCTCTTAAAGATGGGCAGGGTTTACATTGATGGAGAAGAGAGGAAATAGTGAGCAGGAGGATAACACAGAAGGGCACTGGGTGTGAAATTACATACATGGGGCCGGGGCAAGTTTGAGGTGGGGAATGGGTGGAGGGGTGTAAGAGGTGGGCATTTGGTGACTCAGGGAAATTGTCCATAGAAGTACACTTTATTCTTTTTAGCAAAGACGTGATTGAAAATAGTGTTTTCATAGGAAACAACTAGCAAGAATATGTAGGATGACCTAGTGGCATGGAACTTTGGAAAGTCTGGTGATAGACTAGAAAAATCAAAATATGAGACCACTTTGCAGGGGAACCATAAGTTTCATTTAAAAGAACTTTTTATTATGGTAATGTTTACGCAAGTGAAGAGAGCGAAAGATTATAGTGAACTCATCAATAACCATGTACTTTCCTGCCATTTGTGTTTCATCTACCCGCCCCCCCCACCACACCATGTATCGTCTTCCATGTCATTAAACTTTTCTTATTTTTAGATTCACAAATAGTTGTAAGCAACAATACAGAAGGATCCCTGGTAGCCTTTACAAAGCTCCCCTAGGGTACCGCCTCACAGTACACTCACGCTCCCTGTCATGATATTTCCATCAACACTAGACCACAGACGTGCTGGCGGTCCCTGTGTGTAGTCGAGGCAAGTAGTAGGCTGTGCTGTCCAGGTGAGTGTAAGTACAAATCTCATTTCTGGTCGTTAAGCGAGGTGTGACTGTATCATTGTACAATATCCCACCTGGGATGTTGACTTTGGTTCAGTCAGACACAGAAGAGGCCCCTCATACAGGTGTCCCTCAGGTTCCACTGTCCTCCTGGCTCCAACCCATTCTCTCCCTCTCCTTCGAAGTGGAAGTCTCCCCTTGTTTTTCTTTTGCTAGAGTATTTTAAGACAAATCTTAGAATATCATTTAATCAATAAACATTTTTATTCTACTTCTGGAAAGGAATTTTTGTTTACTAATTATTTAACTATTTTTTAATAGAGATAATGCTGGCTTATATTGTTGTTTGGATTTTGGAAATCTAGGATTCCCCCCCTCCAGTGGTATTATCCACCACCAGAGCACCCACAGTCTATCACCGTAGTCCACTGTTTTCACCACACCCCATTTTCTCATTGATTAAAATGAATGATTCCTCAATTTTTTTGTTTGTTTAAATATTATCTTTTTAGTAATTTTTGAAATGGGATATATGACCCAAAGCTGCCATTCTGTGGACTGTCCCTAAGTCTCTTTCATGTGTAAATGATTGTCTGCCTTATTTCTTATTCCACTTATTTCGCTAAATAAGTTAGGTCACTTTACCTGTAGAATTTCCCATGTTTTTAGTTTGGTTGATTGTATCCTCATCCTCATGTTTTCCAATGACTTTCCTTCTTGTCTGTATTTCATGTAAAATAATATTTAGATTCAGATTTAATTTTTTTGTGAAAAGACTAGATGGGTGATGTGTGTTTTATTGTACTGTTTTCAAAGAAACATGACACTGGCTTATTCATTTTTTTGTGATTTAAGATCTATCAGTCAGTTTCAGGGCCTGTCACCCAAGCACACCTATCATGGCATCACTGCTGGCTCTTCACCTGTTTTTTAGCCATGGAAGATTATTCCATGAATCTGCTATTTCATTAGCATTTGCCAAAGGGTGGTTCTCTAATTTTCACTTTACTTTAAAGCTATATTTATTTCTATGAAGAATATTTCCCCTTATCACAAGTAAGTATGTGGCCAGTATTTGTTTATGTCAATTTTCAGAATAAATTAGTATCTTAGCAACATTTATAGATGGCTATGATTAGTAATGGTGGTGGTAGTTTTTTTTGGAAGTATGATTTCAAATTATGAACTTATATGTGGTGTACATACGTGTGTATATGTGTGTGTATGTGTGTGTGTGTGTATATATATATATATATATATATATATATATATATATAGCCACCATTATATTCTCTCTCTCACACACACACATACCTCCCCATATTGTTCCATTTTTGACATTTGGAACCACTTTCAAGGGGCTCCCATCTTCATTTTTCATGAGTGATAAGCTTTTGGATAGCCTTTTTGGTTTCAGGAATAACACCATGTCCCAGAAACATCTTGTGCTTTTCCTATCCATAGATAGAACCAACCATTTCTCTAAGGAGTCTTGGCTACTTTTAATGGGAAATGGTATTTTCAGTTCATCCACGGTCTGGATGCTAAACTCCAAATTTTTTCTCATCATGCACCATTTTATTGTCTCCTGTCAATAAGGACATTGTAACAAGAAGGAGAGCTAACATTTATTGAATGTTCTATGTGTTAGAAAAACTTTTGTTATTCAATATTTAGTGTTGAACCCAGGGACTCTGGTTCTGAGAGCCAGGATTGTCATGCTATGCCAGCTACCTTACTGTCTTACTGCTGCAAGCAATGTTGAATCTTATCTTTAAAAATTTTGGTGGTCCTCCTCCTATGTCCAAAGCCATTGATTAATTTTATCAATTAGCTACATTCTATTTAAAACCTGTGTATAATGGACTTGGGGGAGGGAGGCAGGATAGTAGTAGCTTAGAGCTTTAGCTTATGAGTCAGCCAACTTGGATTCATAACCTTGCTCTGCCCTTTTTCAGAACTTGTATCATCTTGAACAACTTAAACACTTCAATTTTTGGTCTGCAAAGTATAAATAATAACAGCACTTAATTCAGAGGGTTTTCCTAAAAATTGAGCTAAAAAACAAACAAAAAAGCATGTAGAACATCACCTCGCTCATTGTAATCATATTAAAGTTAGCTCTTCTTTTTCCTTCTTATTGACTTTTAGGAGTACAGGGTATCAAGTGAAGCTGAACAATACCGATGACAATCCTGTCCAGTCCTATTGAGGTCAGGACAGACATTATTGATCCCTGAGCCATTTGTGTTCCAGTTAAAGAGGATGAGATTGCCAATGGAAAGGGTAGAAGGAACAAGAATAGGGAGGGGGGGCTTAGCCTGGCATCCATTGTGCTTCCAGGACACCTTGCTCACTAGCATGATGACTGTCCTATGGGATAGAGTCAAGACCTATTTATTTATAGAATGAAAGAACAGAAGAAGACTTGGTGAGTATCCACTCCCAGAAAGTGAAAAGAGGAAAAGTGTCCTGGAAAACACAGGCCAAACCATGGCACCAGAGTTGATGAAAATGGAAAGAAAAATAGGGCAGTTATTGGTAGTTAAATTCTGCAGACATTTAAAAATTAACAAGTACTGAGAAAAACTCTTATAAGGTACCAGATCATGGATGACCATCAAAACTACAGTTTGAAGAGTATGGAGCATGTAGGTGCTCCTTACACCAGTAACTTATAAGTGATGACATGGAAGCTGTGAGAGTGTTCACT